ATCCAGGTCCCTCTGTACCCAGCCGCTGCAACATGGTTATGGCTAACTAGCACACTGCAGCGCCATCTGTGAACACAATTCACCGAAAGTGAACACTTAAAATCGTAAAAAAAGAAACGTATCCTGGAGGTTTCACTAATCCTTAAAAAAGACCCCACGGGTTTTACGTATCACCCAGTTAAAATTAATAGCAGCCTATACTAATAATATAACTACTCTGTATATATATATATATATATATATAGTTATTATTATAGTTACTATTATAACACTAGTTAGGCTAATAGTTTAACGTAGGGTGCACCACCCACTTACAAGAATTGGGATAACTCCAATGGAGACAAGAAGAAATATCCAGAAGGATCTCCAAGGCCAGCGAGTACTCAGTGGTATATGTTCGGAATAGAATATGAAGTAAAATGCAACTTTCTGCATCTTAGGGTGGGAAATTTTTCAGTGCAATATGAGAACGCCAGTTCTTATCAAGAAACGTCCCAACTCGGATGGCTGAAAAAAAGAATTCACTAGACGCGTTAAGAATATTTTAGTTAGTTTGGAGATAGCTTAACGTTTTCGATAGAGATATGTTTATAACAGCTTAATATATACATTGCTCATACTGGCGAAAAACTACCCTCTCAAACTACTTTGATTTAATTAAGAGATAATGTTCTCTTTAAAATAATTAAAGCATTCAATAAACTATTGAAACAAATCATGGCGAATGAAGAATCAGTTCGCTTGCATTCATAATAAGCTCAAAGACATCACGCTGTTTGTTTCAGTTTTCCCACGAATGGGTTTTTATTAGCTTTTGTAACAAACCCGTTAACAGTGGCTCCTACGCATCGCGCCAAGCCAAGTTGCACAGTAAAGCGTGTGCGCAGTCGCACTTCACTATAAACGCACATTCGACTTAAGACAAGACAACCGAATCGCCCGAGCGTAAATGCCCGCCCGCCATCCACGCGCTTTTATTGCAATTGTGTATAACCGCTGCGTTATGCAAGTTCATAAGCATTAATCAGCATGATAAAAATAGCGGTTCGCGGTTAAGCACGTCTGTTTAGGAACCGTGTTTTGACTAAAGGATTAGTCGTGACTTTTACGTACGAGTACAAAGTGAAAAGCGAACACAACCTAACCGCGCGACACTGGTTGCAATATCATCGATACTATCCAGTTGTACACAGCGCTACCTACGTACGTGACGTTTGTTAAGCCTAGCGCAGACCTGCGACTTTTCCATGACAACCCCCTACCTAGAATCGCTGTAAAAATTGCCGTGAAATCGCTACGTCTGCGGGAACGTGCAACTGCAACCTGTCGCGATTCTGGTCGCTTGCGACGAGTTGCAAGAAATCAAACTGTTTTGATTGTTTGCTCCCCCAATCGCTCCCAAATTGTTCTAGCATTGCTTCGAAATCGCATGTGCGCATCGACCGATCGCTTGCGGTTGAAGGTTGCAGTGCCGAACAACCAAAAATCGCAGGTCTGCGCTAGGCTTTACTTTCGCAGGCTACAAGCGTAGGCATCACTAACACTGGAATCCACGGGTAGTTCAACAGTATGAAAATACAGTCAAAGCGCCCTACTCACAAAAAATATATATTGTTCTGCTCACATTCGGGCGTTAGGCTGATGAAAATAAAACCACAATCAAGGATGTACAAGCGATTTCATATAACGAGGATAAATCGAAGCGGGAATAGCAGATTTCAGAAACTATGACGCGACTTTGCACAACAAAGCAGCAACATTAGCAGTAGCCCTTCGCGTCTAGCAGAAACCGGCTTTTGAATCTAGCGAGTGGATTCCCCCCCCCCCCCCGGTTTTTCTTAAACGTAACAACCGTCACGTGTTAAGATCGATTTCCACTGATCGATTTTCACAGCTCCACAAAATGACGCCGAAAGGGTTAACGCAATCAACCCATCGCAGTAACGACCGAGCCGTCGATGTAAAAACAAGTGAAAAACAAACAGTACTCCCTTTAGAACGGGTGTCACTTTCCCCCGGGCGTAGATGGAGGGTGCCGCTACGTGGCAGCACTAACCCTAAACCTAACCCGAACTCTAATCCTAACACAAGTGCAGCCACATCACGTGACCCTCCCTCCATCTACGCCCGGGGGAAAGTGCATCCAGTTTAGAACGACGACAGCATCAGCGTCCGGGGTGTTGCTATTACACGGGCGTGGAGGGACAATTCAGTTCGCGACTTCAAAGTCCAAATCTTGCACAGAAAGATTCCACAGTCATACTTCCGTGCTAGACATGGCCTTATATCCCTAACCCTAACCCTAATTCTAACACTATAGTGCTGCCACGTTGCGGTACTGTCCCTCCACGCCCGGGGATTAGCATTTCCCCAGCGTCCGTCGTGTGCCATACTGTACATGTAGTACACTCCCCCGCCTCCCGCTCCGTCTCCTCTCAGTCTCGCGTGCGGAGATGCCGCTGTTAGCGTGCGAAATAGATTCCTTATATGTGGACGCCGTCGCTGTGTCTGCTTGACATCATCCCCGTCTGCGCGTGACCACAGGCACTTGGAGCGTTTCAATAAAATATAATGCTAAATAAATACGAAATCTATTTACTACCAAAGTCTTAATGATTCTCTACTCTCTTTCGCCTATTATTGCCGACAATTTCCTGTAAACGCCGTACAAATGCTCCTCTGCAACACACATGTACACCGCACGCACGCTGCCGCACACTGACACACACACATATATATATATATAGTATATATATATATTAATAGGCTAAAGAGAGTAGAGAAGTGTAGGAGAGAAGATATGCAATCACAACAAGTAAAGTAAAGTGTGATATCCACATGTTGTGGTCGGCAATTGACTACGGGTTGAGACACTGACTGCTTTCCGCAGCTGAGCTACCGGAAACATTAAGACCCACCTATAGGTAATTCTCTCGAAGAGTAAATGTATGAAACCAGTAATGTAATATGTTAGTCAGCGCCTATATACCATTGCGATACAGTAGAAGCTAGCCCTACGCGAACGAACGAACGTTTACCGCAATCATAACGTTAGCCGCGAAAAGACAAGGCCATGCTGCCGCCTTGCCCCAAAAGCTCCCCTATAAATACACACCTGCACATGATATGTACAATCGATCTAACTCTCCCGAGTCGTTAGTTAGTCAGCTACTCTAACTGCAGTTTTTTTTTACCCATTTAATTACCAACGGCGTTTTGAGTTCGCATAACCGCTTCGAAGAACCACCACCCGATACCTTTAATTTGCACCGCCCCTCCCCCCCACGCGTTCTGCGGGTATTTGACACATGACACACTATTCGCCTGACCGTGAACGCTTCACTCAACGCGTGCTATGAACCCACCCGACCAACACCGACAGAAACCCGCTGCGATATCTCGACGCATGCTAATCGGTTCCGGTACCACCCAGAGTAGTCACAAGCTACACAGTTCTCGCCTTTCCACTACGTGAAACAGCCGCAGAACCTGGTCGGGCTATCCCCCCCCCCCAGAGCTCCATGCACCGCACAGCCTGCAAGATCTCCTGCACTCGTGCTCCTACCACCACCACCACCACAACGACCGACTCCAACAGCCTCGATTCAATGAAGAGACAGTGCACGGAGTAACAGGAGCACATGTACGATGAAACCTAGTCCCGCTCGTTCCTGAGCCCCCCCCCGTTCGTGAACTCCCACTACATTACACCTGAAGTGCATGCAAACAGTAAAATAGCACACGCTACGTTAAAGGTTTTCAAAGCCGTCAGGAAATAATAAAAACCTTCTTGCACTCGCACGAAGCAACATTTTAAGCATGGTCTTTACATAACGTTAGTGATCGGATCGATAAGAGTGAATAAACGGACATGTTTTGAAAAGAAACAACACCTGTATACATTCCGAGTGCAATAACTGCGGCTGAACTAGCTTAGTTAAAGATGCCCTTCCACCTAATGCCATCAAGGATTAAATCTGGGAAACATGGAGCCCGTTGTCAGAAACAAAATTAGTCTTAACATTAGTCTTAACACTAACATTTTCTCGTAGACCGTCGACAGCGCTTTATTTCGTATTGCTACGATTTTTATTCGGAAATCTGCTACGATATTTCATTCAGGTAACTTCGCAGCGTTTCTGTTGATGGTCTAAGAGAAAAAGTTAATGCTAAGACTAATGTTACGACTAATTTTGTTTCTGACAACAGGCCCATGGACTATTATAAGGTCGTGTGTCTATACTTGCCTATACATGTATATATATATAACAAGCACAAAAGAATTGATCGGGATTACGACTATTTGAAGACCTTTGTCTGAGAAATATAAACAGCATGGCGAATGTTTGAAATAATGTTTTGTATTTACTACTCCTCAATTTTCCCTGTAAGAGGTGTTACTCATGAGATTTTAATGAGCTTACTGGTATTAACGGCAACCAGGTCGAAACGTTCCAACGAGTTTTGTCAGGTTTAAAAGTCCTTTCACGTAGTATTTACAGTTTTATCATTAAATGCCATTTCGTTCGCGCGCGTATTTCTCTTCGCCGTCGATACTGGTTTTACCGTGAGCCGTCGCAGATTAAGACTTGTTTATATACACTTGGTGTTACGCAAGGTGCACCGGTATCAGAACGGTCGAGAAAACCTGACAACCGGTCGGGGTAAAATCCTGTGAAGTCCTCGCACCGAGAGGTAAAATCCGTGTGGCGGCGTCACTATAGGAGGAGCCGTAGAGCGGCCATGAAGCCCGCGCTGAGAGCGCAGGTGACGGGCACGGTGACGGCCCAGGCGATGATGATGCTGCGGAAGAGGCGCCAGTCTACGGAATCCTTCGACCTCAGCCAGCCGACGAACACGACCGAGCCGACCTGTGAGGAAACACAGATGAACGAAACACCGATTACGCACGACCATCTCGCCGTTTATAGTTTACACGCAACGGCAGTGGGTTGATAAGCAAGCGTGGTCGCCAGAGACTTCTGGCTAGAGGTTTCGTTGCAAGGATGTGTGGAAGTGGGACGTGTACAAGTAGAAGTAGGATGTTCAAGCATGGCTTCTTATCAGTCAAAATTCAAAAGCATCAGCAAGAATTCTGGTTACAGCATTCTTTGCACGGATATGTATAACTATAAGTCTGCTATAAACAGATGCAAAGACGTATTTTTTTTACATTGTGGTAGAACCTATATCATCGAAACCTACAGGAATATAAATAGATGTTTGGTAATATATATATATATATATATATATATATAATATATATAATATATATATACAAACAACAACAAACGAACTCTAGTACTACTTACCTACCTACCACTACTACTAATTAATAAACTAACAACTACTAACCTAACCTAAC